ATGTAAGATGGTATGTTTCTAGTTATTCATATGCTTGCACATTTACGGCCTCTGATTTAAAAACTTGACTATGAAATGGTTAAGGGATAAAAACAACCAAACCCTTATAATGTGGGCTCATCAGCGATGCATTAAATGAAAGCTTCTGTCTTTTTAACTTGGCAAAGATCCAAACATTGCATTTCCTGTTTACCAAATGTTAATTTAACACTGACAGATGCAAGTTTCATGCTGCATGAACCAGCTTATAATGGTGATATCTGTCATAAAGCAAAAAAAAAAATAAAAAAATAAAAAAATGTTTGCATTTAAATCCTGAAAAGAAATGTCCCTTCAATTACTCCTCATGGGGTAAAAAGATGTTCTTTACAGTGCTGCCCTCTAGTGACATGATTGATTAGTGAGTGAAATGGCCACTATAAAGCACTAGTGCAGATCATAGACACCTCATTAGCATTGCATAGATGCCTTAAAGGAAAAAAAAAAAAAAACACACACACCTACGTCAGCAAGGTTTCATATTTAATTTATTTTGTTTTTTAATCATAGATCTCATTACTTTTTCATGGTTAACATACAGCCATTCGTATACAGAACAAATAAGATTCAGTTTTCAATTAACTTAGAAATGTACACATTGTTTGTCACCTCAAACAGGAGAAAAATTATCTGTTATTCAAAAGTATCGTCTCTCTCGTATTGGAGTTTTTTTTTTTTTGTTGGTTTACTTCCCCCTGCTGGAGAAAAAGTCAGTTTTCTCCTGCTTTCCCTCTTTCTCCTCTTCATATCCCGTCTGTTTGGATCAGCGCATAAAAGAGGCAAGGTAACACACACTGTATAATAAACGGCCCACGCTTTATCTGTGTTTCCGCTCATCTCTGTATACAGCAATTAAATAAAGCACCTCTCTTACAGATGTAGACATCCACAGTTCCCCCTGTCACCCAAAAAGAGACACAAAAAAACAGCAATAATATATATATAAAAAATTAAAAAAACAAATAAAATGATTTTAAGTTATGGTCAGTGCATTGGGACATGAGAATACACATTCATTTCTTCTTGTTTAAACCAATTTACCTGTGAGATGAAGTTATAATCTACTCCACACTGGAAGAAATAAGTCATTTTTTCTTAAAATAAGTGCATTTATTCTTGGATTGAGGAGGTAAAAGACATTTTGCAAATGGAACAAGAACATTTTCATTTAAATTAATAAATAAAAAAACAATATCATTGTCTTATTGCAAGTGCATATTATCTAATAATCTTATTTTAAGAGTAAAAATACACATTCCATTGGCAAACTATCTAATTTACCTACTCAAATTAAGGGTAAATACACTTCATTTAAGACATTTTTTTTTTACTTATTTCTAAATCGTTTTCCAGTGCAACTTCAAATTAGGGTATCCAAACTGTTGCTCTAACCCTATAAACAGCGTTTAACTTTAAAAGAGAGGATGGTTACATATGGCAAAACAGTGGGAGGGAGGGGAGGATTAGACCTGGCCGTTAGTCGATTGGCTGCAGACAGCACTCTGGCCTGAGACAGATGACCGGGTGGCAGCGCTGTGCCGAATGCCAGTCTTCTGCTAAAGCTGGACTCTTCATGTGTGTGAATTTTCTGCCAGTCTCAGTTTGGCATTTTCTTAGCTTTGAGATGGACAAAGTGTGATGGAAATGTTTACACTGACAATACAAAGAAAGATGCAGAGTGTGTGATAGTAGCCACTGATTAAAAATAAAAAGTTTAAAGTGTAGCTGTGTGTAACTTATGTTTTATTCAGCAGCAATGCAAAATTATTTAAATAGTATAAAAGGAAAACCTACTATTTCTACTCTTGTCGGGAAAAGAAACAGGTTTTGGTTATTTATAAAATTCGTTTTCATTACTTTTATATAATACATTACTACATAATTTAATACATGGCTTTTTCTTCTGTAGTGGATTTATCTCTTTGTCTCTGGTGGCTTTGGGGGAGTTTGCTCCATTTTCACTTCCCCTAACATTTTATCCCTTCTGCCTTCAGTCACGTACCTGTAAACAAATCATTTTCCACACCACTACCCATGTTTAATTCTGTTTGTAGTTAGGCATTTCCCAAATTAATCAGGATATTTGGTCCATAAAAAAAAAAAATAGAAAAAATCTGGCATGCAATGTAATCTAATTTCAAAATATCTACTGAAAACATTAGATTACATCTAATTTTTATTCAATTTTGCCCGTCATCCAAATTTGGGAGGGTGGACTTTAAAGAATTATGACAGACGGGGCGTTCTGATTGGACCCAAACACAGAAGGAGCTTCCTGATGCTATTGACTGGAGTCAAAAAACAAATTGTTTTGAAATGTATCAGTATAAGGTGAAAATTGCATTCATCTGTCTGTAAAAGTGGGCAAAATATAAATAAACGGTTGATATAAAATGTCCCCGAGAAAAGGTATCAAATGGCAAAGCTAAGGAATAAGCAGCACTGACTCAGACTTGTTTACATGCTGAATTTAGCCTGAACTGGTTAAACCAGCAGGATCAACACTGAGCTTTGGGAAACTGTTGAATTAATTCAGGGGCTAAATTAAACCTCACAGGCTGAATAATATAAGAATAAGCAAATCAATAGTAAAGAAGCAAAATGAAAAATCCAATAAATTAAAACCCTGTTTAAGATACACCATGTGTATTTTATCAAAATAAAAAAGTGTACACGCTCCAATATAGTTTGAGTAAAATTAAAAAACAAAAACAAATAAAACCTCCAGTAAGGTGCAAACACATGATTTGAGGCGGTAGAGTTGTTGGCATGCAACAAAAACCGTAGAAAGATTGCTTGACATCTTTGTATATCTGGAAGTAAACAAGGACACAAACGGGCCATGTTGTGGCAGAGACATCTGGGTTGTTTATGAAAAAACAAAAAAACAAAGCTGTGATTTTTTTTTCTGTCACACAAGGGAAAGCCTTCACACCAATTGTGTGCCAGTGTGGGGAAAGCCTGTGCGCCTACATGGTCACAGTAAAAAGAAAACAAAAACAAACAGCAAAAAGAAAACAGAGGTCTCACTCATTTAGAGGCCCGGGAGTTTGATGGGCATCTGCCATTTTCGGCTGAACTTCTTCTAAACGGATAAATGAAGGGGTTATAAGCTGCGATTGTGTTAAATGAAAAAGGATGATGTTATTAAAACATAACATGATGGACGTCCCTCTTTATTCATTTATAACAGTTAGTTAAGACAGTGCTAAGGAGTCTGTTCCAAACCCTACATGTCGCCCTGAACAGTCATCAAAAACAAAGCTGCCAATTAAATTAAGTATGAAAGAGAAAATGGAGGGTGAAGAGAAACAGCCCAAAACTGTATTTTATACAACCATGAAAAAAGGCCCAGAATAAAACCCACTTTAGCTGACTCCACTTAAATGAATAAGTGCAAACAAAAGCCAAAACAAGCCCTGACCACAAATGTCAAAAGTCTGGTATTTGAACAGAAATCCCCTCCCTGTTTCCATATCTGTTTCTGATTGTAGGGAACTCGACCTCCTCCTGAGGCTCCTTTACATTTCTGTTTAATATTCCCTCCCTTTCCTTAGCCTCTTTCCTAACTCCACCCCCCCCCCCTTTTAGCCGCCTACGCCTCCGTTCAGGTCAGGCTGCCACAAGAAGAGGTTGCATGGAGGCTGGGACTATCAAGCACATCGCATACAAGCGAAACAAAAGACAAAAAGAGCAAATGTTCTTGACACCAACATGAAAATGCCAACAATTGGTTTTACAGGCATCGGAACATAAAATGGGTTTCCTGGTAAAAATGTGCAAAAAGCCTGAGGTTTTTTCACAATTTATCTTTTGCAGTAGTATAATCCAAAAATGGAAAAATGTTTAATTGGAGTAAATGTATTCCTTTAAAGTGATTAAAAAATAACTATTGGTTAAAAAGGGCTGGCATCACAGTTATTGTCCTCTTTCAAATGTAAATTAAAAAATAAATAAAAAATGCAGGTGATTTGTTTTCACTTATACTTAATAATAATTACAATCCATGACTTGATGTTAAACATGCATACATCTAACAAGATCCTTGCCATAACAGGCAAGAAAACATACCATTCAACTAAGGATAATAAACACATATTTACTTAAATCAGAAATTTATAAAACAACCATTTCCGAAATGTTTTCAAATCTACGTCAATAATAATGATTATTTGCACCTTATTTTAAAAATGCCACTTAGGAACTTTACTGAACTTTACTAATCACTTATTTGAAAGCTAATCACAGAGTCTGAAGAATATTCAATAAGAAATCTTTGTTATTTAGGCAGAGGGGTGGAAAAAAGGAGCAGTTCAATCGATGCTTTTCATCCATCTTAGCAGGGATGCCATTCTAAAAACTGTGGGGGTGCCATATACCTTCATATGTTGGTTTTAAACTGCATTTATAACGTAAACCGATGTCCATTATCTGAAATACTACAATAATGGAGATTTTTTTTTTTTTTATTAAGCAATTATTTCCAGATTTTAAACTATTGTCTAATTATAAATTTGCCCCGTTTAAAATAACGAACAACATTTGACCCATACGGAAGAAAATTAATATATTTTAGTATAAATAATTTTTCAGAAATCTGCTCAGGTAGTATTTTAAAGTGGAATAAAATCTGTATCTGAAAAACAAACTTAATCACAAAACATTTAATTCTCAGTCCAAATGGTGTTAAATGTTTGGCCCAAATCTGCATAAAGCAAACTGACCGAATCCCTCAGTGATTTATGGATGAGAACTGTTTCAGTAACTGAGGCTACTGATCAGATTAATCTAAACAGTAAAATCTCTTAGCCAACACATGCATGTGTGTCCCCCCCCTCCAGTTTCTGCAGAGTACCGATCTACAGCCAGGTGTTGGCAGGTCCGCCCACCCTGCTTCTCAGGCACATATGTGTCACTGCGTCCATCTGTCTCTCCGCTGTGTCACTGGCTTTCATCATTTCTTTTTTTTTTTTTTTTTCATCATCTGCTATGTCTCAACATATGGGGCTCTGGACTTGATTTGCCCAATACCAGCCCCAAAGCCAAACAATCTGTTGTGGAACACATTCAGAAACGATGAAACGAACAAACATGCACCAGACATTCCAGACGTCCGTATGGTGAAAGTTGTCATGTTTACAGGAGAGAGGCGTCCGAGTCACAAGCACAAAACCCTGAACCTCACTCTGATTTAATGCTTTTCTTCACTCAGGTGGCTTTGCTTTTATTGATGGAGAAACAGGGTTGTTTTAATTAGCTGTTTACACCAGTAGGCTTCTCATTTAATCATTACTAAGGCCAGAAAAGGTAGGTTTGTTTAAAAAAAAGTTGTTTTTTTTTTATCCTTATTTTACCTCAGTGACATCTAATCCATGTAATGGTTTGTCTGTTTTATCAGTTAGGATTTAAAAACAATATATTTTATAGAGTTTCATTTGGATTAGAATATTTTAATGCATTCGCAATATATTAATCTTTAATTAAGAGGGAAGTCTGATTAGAGCACAGGCAAAAAAAAAAAAAAAAGATCTGATCACATTTAAGGCAGAAACCTCCAATAGGACCTACTGATTCACATCTGTCTGTTTTGCTAAAAACTTAACATTCTTTATTAATTCCTTCTTTTTTTTTCCCCCCCTCCGAGTAGAGGGGAGGCTTTAGGTTTCTTTGCTGGTGCAGAAAGAGCTACTCTATGGGCACAAATGGATGGGGGGGTTCAACAAAACCCTGCATAACATTCGAGCATAATCTGCACATGTGCTGAACTTCAAAAACATGTCTAATGTATTCAGAATACGACTGTTAAAGAGTCGGTTGGTTCATCTTCTGGTTTATCATCCGTCATTGTGTTGAAATCATTTGCAGAAATATTCCCTGATGACATAAATCCAAGATCAGCAAAAGAAAATACAAGATGTTGGACTAAATTCAAGGAAATCTGCTCGATATCCAACTATTAATTTCAAACAGATGTACTGAAATAATTCTTCACACTGCATATAAATGATGTCTATGATTTCACTTGCAATATAAGTTTAGACACCTCTGGTTTCATACTTTAAAAAGCCCATTCCCTGTTGCTATTATCAATAACTGTAAGCAATTAAAGCTTGCAGAGAGAGGACTTGTTTCCTAGCAACTTCAAACCCCTCTGCAGCAGGATCGCTCTGTCTTCGCTACAATTTTGCATTTTCTGCTTAATAAATCCCCTCTGTTCTAGTCAACAGAATCAAGCAGCCATATGTACCGCTGCATGCACCTCATTAAAAAAAAACAAAGCCTTTGTCTCTGGTCAAACATCTGTTATTTATGTTGGATATACTATAAACCTTAATGATCAAGATATGCTGCAGACATCAGCTAAACCACATTCTTTTTCTTTGTCAAGTCAACTTGAGGGTTCATTAATCATAAAATCATTATTTTACCACAGGATAATCCTAATTTGGATCTAATCTGATCTTTTTAGGTTTCTATTTGACTTAATGTTGTTGATAGTACTGTATTAAGGCTCAGACTTTTTACATTCTCAGACCTTTTCATGGAATGTTTTATGGATTGTTATGGTGCTTTTTATGTCCTCATGCTGTTGTAAAGTGTTAATTGCAATAGATGGAAATTGATATCTTTGTTTAAATATAGTTGAGAAGCTATGGATGTATTTCCAAAAGAGAGGAACCAAGGAGACCAACAGTGAATGCTATGTAGAAATAATCATTTGAATGTTTTTCTTTTATAAAAAAAAAAAAAACTCTTTATGTGTGTCAAAATATAATGCAGTTTGCTTTAAGCGTAATGAATATTTTATTACATATTCACTAATAAAGGGGAAGAAGAATTGTAGGTTTTTGCACATTAGCCAGACTGCTGCAGCTTTAGCTTTGAGACACTCTGTTCTATTTACATATAATACATATAATCGTAAAGGAAAATTGTTTGTAAAAGTAGAACAGCAAGTCTGCTACTATTAATAGGGGTGAACAAAAATAATCCACCCTCTGATTATGAATGCACATAGTGTACTTTATCTGGAAAATGCTTTGATGATTGAGAAGGGGGAGAATGGTTATTACTTTTTATGAACACAGAACAAGAATCCTTGGTTTCTTTTCGGTTTGGTAGACAAACAAAGTCATCGCTCTGCAGGCTCATGCATTCCTTTAGCTAACAGAGGGTTTTTAAGTGAGTTCACAACATCCTCCCTATGCTGATGAAGGTTCTCAGTCATCCAGGTCATAGTCATTCCGTAGAAATTCAAAAAAATATCCACTGGACTTGGTTTCCAAGATTTGAAGACGTTTCGCCACCTCTCCAGGAAGCTTTCTCAATTCAAATGTCCTCCCTAACATGTTTTTTTTTGTTTGGTAGATAAAGCCATAGCTCAGCCCATGCATTCCTTCAGCTCTCAGAGACAGTTTTATGGGATTCTTTGGAAATAAAACCGTTTCTGCTAGGAATTGAATTCATAACATCCCTAGAGTCTAATTCATGCTTACAGACTTTTTATTTGGGTGACCTTTATGACTTCTTTCAAAATATTCACTTTATTGAAAGCTCTGACTTGTATGTTATTCATTTGATCAGAACTTCAGTTTAGTCATTATCAATCTATAATTGGTGCGCAGAAATGAACCATGGGCATTTAAACTGTTGACTCAACTGAACTGAACCCTATTTTAAGCAGTCGATGTAATGTACTTAGGCTATCGTAGGCAATGGTTTTAAATATCAAATGACAAGTGTCTGGTGTGGTTTATGGTGCTGACATGCAGGCATGAATTTTCCACTGGTAAACTTCTGAGGAACGAAATGCGTGCGCCCTGTTGTACAGATATAACCGCTCTGTAAAAACGTTGAGTTGAGTAATGGTGTTCAAGGCTCCGCAAGACATTAAGAGATGTTTAAATCCATCCACTTCCATTAAACTTCAGCCTCAGCGCTGTTCATTTCTTTACCAATTTAAGGTTTGATTATGATAAAACAGGACAGCAACTGGCGAGGGTTGCGATTAGACTGTCCACACGCATAAAAGTCCCACTGCTTTTAACATCTGCTGAGTGGCCACAATTTGTAGAAATGTCCTTGAGTGAGACAGCTTAAAAAAATAAAATACTGCAAGCCCAGTGAGGCGTCACAGACCGGCCTGAAACATAACTTCATCCCCGCTGAATCCGTCACTGCTTTATAGATTTTCTTTTGCAGGAATGACGTACTGCTCCCTTCATCTGGACGGGTTTCATTTCATCACTGTGATGACTCAACTTCAAATTGAAAAATCAAACCCTAACCCCTCTTCCTTCCTATCACACATCGAGTAAGTGAGCAGCTGTGCAACATGTCTTTACTTTACAAGCTGCTTCATGATCTCTTGTTTTGATCTACAGGAGAGAAAGAAAGTCTTCATCATCCATGTTTTATCTGCAGAGTGCAGATTGTGCTACAGATGGGGTACCTACACTGCTCCTCATGCATGGTATTAGTATAAAGGTGTAAATCAGAGAAACACTAGATAAATAAAGGACTCTTTTGCACATATTCTTCTTCTGCAGTATCAGTTTTTCAGAGGATGAGTTTGGATGTACTTCTTTACTGGATTTAAAGAGACAAGAGGTTTCTGAGTTCTCTGAATAGTATCCTGTTGATACCCACTGGCGTTCGTTTCCAAGTTTGAAGATGTTTCGCTTCCCATCCTGGAAGCTTTTTCCAATTCAAAATGTCAGAAATAGCGTTGAGTTCAAGGCTTTATAGGGTGGACCAAAAGCAAAGCCTTGTTTTGGCTTAGAAAACATGCAAATTGAACCAGACAAATAGGTCTTAGGAATGAGGAGGTATTGAGATCTTTTGTTAGCCCGCAATACCAGATACTGAGAGGAGTTGTTAGGGGGCATTGCTGGCCTGGCTGACAAGGCGAGATGTTTATGTCCCCCTGCATGGAGATGGGGTTGAGATGATAGAGGGAAGGAATCAACTGAATTGTTGCATTGTAGGTTTTTGAAAGCTGAAATCTGAGTGCACCTGTTTAAAGTTGGTTTTCCTCTCTTGACATAAATGGCTTCCTCACACCCCTTTCAATCCACCTGTCTTCTTTGTCCAAAATGTGAACATTCTGGTCCTCAAAAGAATGTCCTTTGTCCATAAGGTGTAGATGTACCGCAGAGTCTTGTCCGAAGGAGGTAGCTCTGCTGTGTTGGGCCATGTGTCTGTGGAGAGATTGTTTGGTTTCTCCGACAGAAAGATCGGATCAGAGCATTCCTCACTGCATTGAACTGCATACACTGATTAGTAGTGTGTTGAACTACCCGTTTGAAGTCTCTATGGATGACCTCAGGCATGTAGGGATCTCAGGAACTCATCAAGAAGATTGATGCTATGGTGACAAGGGGAGAAGCTAGCCAAGTCTAGAAATTCAGGTTTTTCTTTACCAGAAACACCCTTGTACAGATAGACTGACAGGGCTGTTGCATTCAGAGCCACAAAGGCATGCAGTTATACGAACAAAAGCACTGTTCACCAGATGTGTATTGGAGTGGGAGCAGCATGTTGACTTAACGTCAACAGGCAGAATGTGAGCACATTCACTCATCCCTTGTCCTTGAAAAGACTTAACAGGAGAAATAAAGTTTAGCTTATTTTATTGACAAGAAAAAATGCATTCTTCTTTTTGCTTTTTCAAAGAAACTTATTTTTCATCCTTACAATTAATTTTTCAGGGACACACAGCTGCTAGGGCAAGACTCACAGAAAGCTGCAGATATAATCCCTAAAATATGTTTCAAATGCTTATAATGAGTATGTTAGGTAGAGTTAAATACTCAGGAAATGATTCTTTACTAACATTCTAATTGTTTTTTCTTTTACTGCACTTTTAGGAAGTACAGAATTTTAACCACAAACAAGGCAAAGCTTCCTGCAGTCATGGATGAGGACATAAAATCAATAAAATTACTCAGATCTGTTTCGGTACCGTCCTGATCCATCAACAAACTATAGCAAAAAGTGAAATTTATAACACAAATTAAAAGCATCTTGCCAACCATTTGATATTAAATCCTATTTGGAGCTAATTTGCTAATTTCTCTGCAGCCTTTCTGGAATTAGCTGGTTGATACAAACAGCTTACATTAACAGCTGTTGCTTCTGGCCATCGTGGTATTGAAGCAGCAGAACAGCCAACATACAGGAAAAAAAAAAAAAAACATTACTGGCCTTCTGGTTAATCTCTTTTTCTCCACCCTGAGCTCCTTTGCTGCAAAGTCTTTACTGCAAAAACTAGAGTAAACAGTTTGCTTCAAATCGAATCACAACTTAAATTCCAAACTTTTGCAACTCAATCGCTTAATATGAAGCCAAACCTCCCAGAGATTTTCTATTAGAAAAGGATTGAAGCAACCATTTAATGCATAAACCCAGACGAGTCGCACATAACCTGAGTGGAGCTGCTCAATAAAAAAAAAATAAAAAAAAAACTTTAAAATTTCCTTTTAGTTGCTCTTTCCCTTGATTTTTTTAAAAAGCTTTGTAGCAATATAAATACCCTCACCGTGATTTCCTCACACTTGACAAGGACTATATCAGACCACACAGATTGTGATAGAAAGCATGGTTTGTAAGTGAAATCCTGATATCTGGTGGCACACCAGTGTGCCACCAATAATCTTCCTGAATTAAACATTAAATATCGACGTGTCAATGGAAAAATAGGGCAGTCAGAAAAAATAACCCAAAACATGACACCAACTACTTTATTGATTTCTGCACAGCTTTACTTTTCTGTTTGGGTCTCTTTTATTGTTATGTTTTCATCCAGTAAGATGATTGGTGCTGCACCACCTTCTAATTCAATTTCATATGTAAATATCAAGTCTTTGTAAAAATAAGAAAACAACCAATACAAAATTCATAAAGTTGTAAGTAATAAGCTAATGTTCATATAAATACTCATCGATAGCCCATTGGTTGGTTCTGGAAGTAGAAGAGTTAATTACATTTAAATAACATTTAAATAATTTATGCATCATTATTACCAACCTGTAATGGATTTGTATTAAACTAAAAGAAATGCATCCAAGTAAATGCTCTCAATGGATGTGTTTTTAGAGAAAAATGGGAAATAAAATAATCTTTTTCCTGCTCATTGATGAGAGCCTGTTGAGAGTAAATTGGCTAATTCTGCTCTCTTGCTGATTGGTGCATTTCTAACACTAAATATAAAGGGGCTAATTTTAACTCTGTTGATTGATGAAAGATGATAAGGATACCAAAGAGCGTAAAGGCAATGAGGACATAAAAAAAACAGAAATGACAGAAAAAGGAAATGCTTGGAGGAGCCAAAGGCAGACACTCAAATATTGGCAGCAACGCATTAAGACTCATTCAGGGGACTTGTAGCATTCAGATACATTTAACCACTGCTTAATGATGTGAACATCCTCGCTTTTTACCATCATTCATCTTTTCCAAGTTTCCAAGGAAAACTCCCCAATCCCAGCTGCTAAACAGACAGATTTGGAAAAACTAAGAATGGACTTCCTGCAACATTTCTTGATTGTTTCCAGAAGGGATAAAAAAGATTTTTCTAAAATCTGTCTGTAAGCTCTGGTAACACACTCCCACTCAGTACAACTATTCATTTGGTATTTCATTTTATTTCCTTTTCATCACACAGTTTTTCCTTCATAACCTCCTTCACTGGCATTGATTTTGTTCCTAAATTTAGAGCCCAAACAACACAAAGACAGAGCACATACAGTATTTACAACCACACAGACAAGGCTAAGGTGCATGAACATGAATGTTAGCGGAGACTTGTGACACTCATTTGGCTGTAGGTACTCCCAACAGACCTTGAAAGGCTGTTATGTTTTCTGAACATGCATCTGGCTCTGGAACAAGGTAACCCAAAATGATAGGAAGACATCAGAGGATGAAGGTCAAAAACAGAGCATCTGCCAGTCCAGAAACTTCAGTGAAAACAGACTGGAACACACAAAAAATGCTGGCTGCCTCCCTACCTTATTTTCTTTTTTCTTAGGCTTCTGCTGTATTGCAGAGCGCAAGTGTGTCCAGTGGCAGATGAAATCAAAGGAAGTGGCCAAGCAATCTTTTCCCCATCGGAGAGGGAAGGGGAAAGCAATGATTTTGTATTTTTTTCATCCAGTGGTTTCACCCCCTCGGTGCTCTAATTTACTTGTAAACCAAAATTTGATATTGTCTAACGTTCCCTTTATGCCCCAAAATAACTTTTTGAGATTAGAAATCCCTGCAACTTCATTGTTGTCTGTGGTTATTTTTGTCCGTCATAACAAGCCCACCTCCAGAGCTCAGTACGAAGGCTGCGCATAGGGCACCGTTTTAAGGTATTTTTTTTACAAACTTGATCTTCTAGATCTCATTCACTCAGGATTTTGTGTTTATAAGGGTTGCCTAGGAGGTAGTGATACCTTTGAGGGTTGTCCAACATGTACTTTGGGGCGTACATGTGCTCTTTGGGGTCCGCAGGAGGATACTCCTGCACAGAGCCGTCAAACCAGCCCCCTGTCCGGATCAGTTCCCGTATATAGTTGAGGTCGCGTTTGTCTTCATAGTCCCCCCATCTAGGGAAATCTCCATTCTGTGCTGAGACCAGCTTGAAGTAAATCCCCTCGGGCGTAAAACACCAGGAGCAATGCCAGCCTGCGAAGTGAACAGGGCTGCCCAAGGACCACTGCACCAGAATGTGGCCCGTGTCATTTTCATACTTGCGAAACCCGGGCATGGTGTAGTATTCGCGGCGTCGCAGCTTGATGCCGTCTTCATCGTAGACGTCGTGGAGCATCTTCAGCGTGCAGCCAGAGACCACCTCTAGAGTCCCAAACTGCTTCCAGAAAAAGCCATATAAAGACTGGAGAGAAACAGAATGAAACCAAACTTACAAATAAACCTACAAATAGGGTTAACATCATTTCACACAACTCTGTTGCTGTACTTCCTGTACCTTTCGCATGTGTATGGCAAAGGGTTCTGTCCAGCCATCGAACAGCTTGAGGAAAAGAATGCCCTCCTGAGCTGGGATTTCATCTGCGTCATTGATAAGGAACACATCATCGGATCTGGAACCTTTTAATCTTGACAAGCCGTTGCGTGTCAGGAACGTCCGCAGATAGTCATCAGCTATCCAGCCATCCTGTCGTCCACCGTCTGGGAAGTGGTCGAGGAACACGTAGAGGATTTTGTGACGGATGTAATCATATGTACCATTAAGAAGGAGACGCAGGAAACTAGGGAGACAGATATAAGAAAATGATCAAGGCTAATGTCACGATTACCAAACTTTTATCCGTTTTCCTTTTTTTATCCAGAACCACTCATTAGGCAAGTTGCCAGAACTCATAAACTAACAGATCCTTTGTGTTTTCAACTTAGATTTGATGTGATAGATCCACACAAAGTAGAGCATGACTGTAAAGGAAATACAAACACATGGTTTTAAAAACTCTTTACTTGTGTATTTCTATTCACCTACTGTATACCTTTAAAACCAACCCAGTGACAGCTGTTGGTGTCTTGTATCAGCAGGGTTGTTCCGTAATTTTCATTTTGAATTTAAAACAAAGAAGCATATTTTAACATTTTATTGTGCGAGCTGTAATAATTTCAGATGGAATTAACAAAATCAACAAACAGGAACATGCTACGTTTCTGAATAAAAAAAGATTAATGGGATCAAATATGTAACCAATCCCCCTTATTTACTGGTAAGTCGATCATCTGATTGCATCCTTATGCTAAACATACTATAAGTAGCTTGGGCAGTGAGGACTACTAATCTGGGCTTCTTTTAGCTTAACCTTTAGCTAAAACATACTTGATACAACTTTTACACACAGACCACACACGGGGAATTTATGTCCGAGGCTATGTCCAAACTGCAGGTCTTGATGCTCAATGTTGATATAATTCTAATTTCCAAAAAAAAAAAAGAAAGAAAAAAACAAAAACAAAAAAAAAAAATATTTTTCTGCCATCATTAATTTCACATCACTTATGAAATGTACCTTTATCTCACTCCAAAGTCGGCAGTTTGCGGCTCCAAACTGACTGGCATTTGCAAAAGAACAGTAGCAATAATGCCACAAACATTTTGGTGCAGGAAACATAAAAATACCATAACATTTATTCCGTGTCAAACTGAAACCATTTAATGTTTCCGCTGAGGCCGAAAAGCACAGATAAAAGGAAAATAAAACTTTGTACTTTGACATTTTACTGAGCTTTGGCTGCCAACACAGCCCAGAGGTCTGAGAGGATACAGAGACGCAGCCAGGAATGGTGGGACAGGATGTCTACACAGAGAATGGGATTGTTCTGAATGTTAGGATGACGTGGGCCACTTTTAACTTTGGAGATCAGATCCGCTCCTATCAACTCCCAAGGCAGGACATACTTGGGGCAGATTACAACCGCCTGATGAACCTGTTTGGTATTGCAATGTCCTCTTTGTGCAGGATTGTACATGTTTTTGGAAAGGGTGTGCTGAATGGTGTCTATATGAGCCTTCCAATGTGCCCTGAATAAAGCTTTCACCAACATCCTGCTGTCCCTCCAGTGAAGACTTTCAGCTGTCACCAGCTGCCATCAATTCCCGCCAGTGCAAACTTGGGACAAATGTTCTCCAACCAAACTTTGTGTCCATCTTTGCACATTTCTAACTGGAAAGAAACAATTGGAATCCACCTGTCTTTTTCCTTCTGCTTCAATGCCATATTCCACTTAATGGCAGTAAATAATGGAAAAGTTTAATACAGTAAACAATTTTTGCATGATGCTGTGTATATTTTCTTTCTAAAATAGTTTTTTAAAGTGTAATTGCAAGTTTATGGTCCTACGAAATGTACTGTGTCTGGACATTATCAATCAATTATGGAGTGGAGTGCTGTCATGAGCTGAGCCAGGAGAGTGTTGAGGGGCTAACGGTTCAGGTATAGATTGGCAGTCTGTGGGAGCTCCTTCACCTAACCACCAGGCCACCATCCCCCAAAGGCTACTGCTTATAAGGAGTTTCTTTGTTTATAGCTAAACACAACCTGGTTCTCCTAAAGCTGAAATAACTGGTCGATCACTTTTGACTTTAATCTAAAAAGGCATAACGTGAGACATGCAAACCTAATCTGCTAAGCACTCGTTTGACATACAACACCTCTCTGCCTAGGCGGCCCCACTTCACACACACCAAAACTTACCGAGTGGACAACTCTATTAACCTGTTGAAATGCATAGCAAAAAGTGCAGTGTTGCTGTTTTCATGCTGTGCCACATCCTGTGATTGAAAACACCAATCTCCCTCCTCAAAGCAGAACTCAGTCAGTCATGCTGCTCCTCATAATCTTCTGTAAAATTGCTTTCAATATCCTTCACATTGTTGTAAAACAAACCTAAAATAAATGAATATTCTCCACATCAGGTCTCAACGAGCATAATGAATGACATTGTAGAAAGATGCGAGACATCGTCACTCAAGGCCACAGTGTCGTAGTTAGGCAATTTGTTTTTATATGTCTGAATGGGAGAAGAGAACATGAGCAGAGCCTCTCTGATGACCTTAATCTATAAAAGCAGGATAAAACATGCATTCAGGACCAACGGGCGCGTTTGGATAACTAAAGCTGCAAAACAAATTAGTGCACAAATCTTAATTGTGATCAGTGGAAACTCTTTAGTGTTGCTTTAAAGTGACTGGATACATTTATTTATGACCTGACCGATCTGAACAGCCGATGCCTTTTTGAGACATAAATAAAACAAAATAAATAAATAATAAATCCTGAACAGATGGTCCTTCTGAAGATGAATGAACTGATTTTGAAGAGAAATTCCTGCCGTCAGTCAGATTTATTGATCCAACAACATACTTTTCATGCCATATAACTCCTGCTTAATTAATAAAATAGAATTGCTTTTTATTGTCTTTTTAAATTATCCTAATTTAACCAAACAATGGATTCCAACTCCTTACTGTTTATTCAATAAAAATGAGACTCAAATGGAAAGCTGTAACTTTAACCAGCATCCATTTGCTGCTGATTAAATAAATGCATCTATTTAAGGCATAGGTGTGCGGGGGAGTGTTGGCCTAGTGGTTAGAGCAGTGCACTTGTGAACTTTGTAGGTTCCAAGCACCCAGTGCGATCCCCACAGCCGGCAGCTCCCTGAGCAAGACCCTTAGCTCACTGTTCCCCAAGGAGATGGGTTAAATACAGAGGTAAATTTCTCCAGTGTGAAATAAGTAAAGTTCAATAATAATAATCATTATTATTATAATTTGTTTTATTTTCTGGCAGGGCCTCTATAAAGGCAGAGGGGTTGGAAATTTGTCGGTCGGGAGAACACATATGTGTGTCAACACTATGCTGAGATACAAAGACCTCTGTAAGGTTCTTAGACAAAGAACTTCTGACGTCTATAAATCTGGGAATGTTTAGGAGGCCATTTCCAGATTATCTAAAGTCCATTTGACAACACTGACAAAAATGACATAAAAGAGGAGAACGATAAGGAATCTTAACAGGAGTGGACTTCCAGCAGATTGCAATGAGCTTCCTCTGTGAACACAGGCTTAGTCAATATTAGGTGAAACAGCCCAAATAAAAATGAAAATTACTTAAACCAACTGTAAAGTATGACAGTGGAAGGGTAAAGTATCTTGGTTCCACATAGTCAATAATTTGACCATAAAAGTTATATTTAGCTCCAAATGTGAAACTTTCTGGTGAAGCTTGGTTGAATCTTCCAAAAAGGCTGATCATTTCTGTCATTGAGGCCCTGGTTCGCAGCGGCTACAATGCAGCTTCCCGCCATCAGTGCATGAAATGATGAATGACCGAATGTAATGTAAAGCACGCCTTGGAATTGATAAAGCGCTATGCAAGTACATGCCATTTACATTTTACAGGATCAGAAACACAGAAGGAAATCTGAGACAGAAAAAAAAGATAACGATTGTGTTGCAATGGCCCTGTTCAAGTGCACAACCTGGAAACCAATGCAGTTGTTCAAAATTCCACAGTGATGTTGGAAACTGATAAATTCATAGAGAGGCAGTCACTGGTAAAGATCTAAATACAGGCTGTAGGGGTATTTGTTATAACTAGTTAAAATATTTTTTATTGTTGCTTTAGATGAATAATAAAGGGTCATACATAGTTTTTTTTATTTTTTTAAAGAAGTGAGGTTAGAGATTAATCATTTTATGTTATTAGAGGAAAACAGATTTACTTTTTCCCTATATATAAAACCCTAGCAATTAAGAGTTTATACTTTCATTTTCCATCAACTGTATGTATGTAAATCTCATCCATTCATCCATTTTCTAACACGCTTAGTCCCAAGGGGTGCTGGTGCCTATCTCCAGCTGTCTATGGGTGAGAGGCCGGGTACACCCTGGATAGGTCGCCAGTCCATCGCAGGGCAAAAGAGACACAAACAAGACAAACAACCATTCACGCACTAACTCACACCTAAGGAGAGTTTAGAGAAGCCTAACAGTCATGTTTTTGGACAGTTATGCTCAGGGAGAACATGCAAACTCCAGGCCAGGAATCGAACCCAGTACCTCCTTGCTGCAAGGCAACAGTGCTACCCACTGCACCACTGAGCAGCTTTGTATGTAAATCCCTTAAAAAAAAAAACAAAAAAAAAACAAAAAAAAAATAAGGATTGTGTCATACCTCAACGGCCGCTTCTCTCCATAGGCAGTAAAGTTAGATTCGCACACCAGGAACAAATCTACGGCCTGTGAGAGCTCATGAAAGCGTGCGTGCAACAGGTCGAACTCGTGGTTGATGTTGATGGCATTGATCACTCTCCGAGGGGTCTCTCTGGGCTTCAGCCGCTCCTTCGTTGGCAGATTGGAGTGGTACACCATGGTGGGAACCCCACAGTAAGGTCCGTGCCATCCTGGCCGACAAACACACTTCACCAGCTGCTTCCCGCTGCCCAATGGTTGCCCTTTACCCTTTGAGCTCTTTCCAGCTTGCTGCTGAAGTCCCAATGTTTTCCGCAGTGCAGCTTTGCCTACTTCCAAAACGTCATTCGCTGCACCCGCTCCCATTTTCACAGAGGATTCCTTGATGGCAGCCATCTCCGTCCCCTGTTTGAAACAAAAGGCTCCGCGGCTCGTACGGACAAAATAAGAGGTTCTGTCATCTTGAAGCTGGTAAGTCCGGGTATGAAGATCTCCCATGGAGTTCACAGGGTCCAGCAATGGACCTTTCCCTATTTGTACCGACTGTTTTTTTAAGTTGGATTCAATATAATTGACATGGTGGTCATCACGTTGTCTCTAGAAAGGAAGATGAGATAATATTTAAGGCATAAACTTATGTGAATACTATTCAGTTTAGTTAAAACTTACAGCTACTAAGAACATTGGCTAAATTGATTAATGTCTAAATTTGTTAAATGATTGCTGGGTGTTTCAGACACTATTCTTGTCTATGACATTTTTCATGCATTTCTACAGTTACTTATAGTTGTACTACAGCAGACTATCGTGGTAAAACCTCTTTTGGCGATTCTCCCAGCTGGTTCTCCTCTGGTTTTTCCCAGGGACGGGGAGGCTGTGGCTCCTTCATCGCTCTCACCTCAATTTTCAGGCCAGCGACACCAGGTTCTCCATTCTTAGCATCAAGTTCTCCTGGATCTATCACTCCCCCTCCTCCAGCCCCCAAAGACTCCACCCCTCCTCCATGTTTCACCACCCCTTGGCGGAGAGCAGGCAGCGGGGGAGCCTCTTCTGGAGAGGCAGGACTGAGCGGGGTGGCAGCGATGCCCTTCTCCCTCCAGAAAAAGCCTGAAACCATGATGAAGGACTTGATGTTGGGGTAGGGCGCTGAGAGCTCACGCAGCAGGGAGACGTAATGGAGGGCCTTGTAGTAATGGAGGAAGGAGATGACGCAGAGACCCACCGTGCACAGCAAGAACACTCTGTGCCGCCGCATTTTCATCCTAAAAGAAAAGAATGAGAAACAGAGAAACATAAAAAAGTGAGTATAAAGTGAGAAGATTATAGAGTATGAAGGTCCAAAAGGTTTTTACACATGTTGTCTCATTACAACTGAGACAAATTAAGTGTATTTGACTGGAATTATATATGACTGACTGAAATAAAGTACCACATATATGTAAAGAATTAAGAGGAAAAAACATTTTTTCCAACCACATCTCTAAAAACTCAGAGAAACATACCATAAAACTGTAATCAGTCTTTGGTCCTGTGATTGTGAAATAGATTTGAATGATTATAAATCGCTCAAATCTATTTCACCTCTGATTATAAATTATCCTGTGCATTTTTTACTCATCATCACGATGTCCCAACACTCTCACCTCAGCTTTAGCTTCCCCGTCTTAAATTTAGATGTGGACATAGAATGATCATCAAATTTCAAAACATATTATCAGAAAGGAGATTTTGAAAGCACGGCTAAATTTATGTTAATCCCATCAAATATCCCATCAAATATCACATTGTAGCAGTTCTTTAACTTTCTAATTCTGACCAAAGTAATGCGGTTGTTT